TGGCAGCAAGAATCAAAGGAAAGGTGTACAAGACAGTAGTGAGACCAGCTATGCTGTATGGGTTAGAGACTGTAGCAGTGAGGAAAAGACAAGAAGCAGAGATGGAGGTAGCAGAGATGAGGATGTTGAGGTTCTCTTTAGAAGTGACCAGGATGGACAGGATTAGGAATGAGCACATCAGAGGGACAGCTCAGGTTGGTTGTTTTGGGGACAAGGTCAGAGAGGCTAGATTGAGATGGTTTGGACATGCGCAGAGGAGGGATAGCGGTTACATTGGTAGAAGGATGTTGGAGATGGAGCTGCCAGGCAAGAGGTCTAGAGGAAGACCAAAGAGGAGATATATGGATGTGCTAAAAGAGGACATGAAGTTAATTCGTGTGAGAGTAGAGGATGCCGAGGATAGCGTTAGGTGGAAACAGATGATTTGCTGTGGCGACCCCTAATGGGAACAGCCGAAAGAAGAAGAATAAGATTTCAACTTTCATTTTTTTATCTGTTTAAAACATTTATCAGTTACTTTTAGCTAACTATGGACTCTTTTGCTAGCTTGCAGAGGCAACACTTTAATGCGTGTGGAGCTGATGGGATACTGTGGCAATAAATTGTGATACAAATCAAAGGTCAAAGTGTTTATTTGTCATATGCACAGTTAGGAAACGTGTTTTCCTGTACAATGAAATTCTTGCTTTGCCGACTACATGCATGCCACAAAAAGACTAGTTACGCTAGTTAGCTTTGAATACGAGATCAGGCTGGCTCAGTATTCAAGCACCATAACTGTCAAGTTAAATAAAATCATAAATCAGGATATCATATAAAACAAATGTGCAAGAAAATATATTCAACATTACTATGAAGAAAAGTTAAGTCAGTGACAACACTGAATAGATTACCTAGTCCTGGTGTAATTAAAAAAAGCAATTACTTTCAACCACTTCATTTATTCAAACATGTTTATTCAGGATGAGGATAAACCAGCACAGTAGCTACTGTATCTCTGAGCAAGTACAGTTCAGCTATTAGACACAAAGAAATGTACCACATGAAACTGCATAAGATGGCAGTGTTTTCCACAGAAAAGTGTATAAAAGTTACAAAAAAGTTTTATACATCCGCGCATGTCCTGAAAAAGCTGAACGTTTTGATACCTGAATGGCTTTTCTAGCTGAAAGTAGTTAAGTGCCAAAAAAACGTATGGAAGAATAATAATAAAGAAATAAATAATTGTAAAACATAGTATGGATGCCGATTCAACATCCATACAATAACTAGAAAAATTGCATTTCCTGAAGAAAATGCACGTGTGGATGAGAGATTTGTAATGCATTGTTCTGAAAATGCCTGAATTCAATAGCAAAATGGCAGAAGGAGGAGAAGAAATGGCTTAAGTTCTTTGTTGAAAAAGTTAAGAATTGGCTGAAGTTCTTTTTTGAATTATCTGAAGGATGAAATGAAATATATACAGGCAGGAATGTCCTTGAAGAGCTGAACAGGTAGATACCTGAATGGCTTGTATAGCTAAAAGCATGCTGGACTTATAAAGTGCCAAAAAAAGGGTGGAAGATCCCAGAATAATCAGGAGAACATAGTGTGGATGCTTTACAGCATTCACACAATGACATGAGGTCGATCCTGAGTCAGCTGTTTAGGAGTCTGAATGCAGAGGGAAAGAAAGTTTTTCAGTCTAGAGGTCCTGCATTTCACACTTCTGAGCCTCCGACCAGAGGGTAGGGGTATAAACAGTCTGTACTGCGGGTGGGTGGGGTCCTTGAGGATGGAGGCAGGTTTCCTATGCACTATGTGGTGGTAAATGCTCTGCAGAGAGGGCAGTGGAGTCCTGGTGATCTTCTCCACAGCCTTTATCACTCTCTGCAGGCGCTTGCGGTCCATAGCAGTAGTGCTGCCATACCAGACAGTGATGCAACTGGTCAAGATGGTCTCGACGATGCAGCTGTAGAAGTTGCAAAGGATCCTAGGCAACATGCCAAATCTCCTCAGCCTCCTCAGGAAGTACAGCTGCCGTTGGGCCTGTTTGACCAGCTGTGTGGTGTGAAGTGTCCAAGTGAGGTCCTCACTGATGTGGACACCCAGGTATTTGAAGCTGCTCACCCTCTCCACCTCAAGCCCCCGGATCAACAGTGGCTAATGAGATCTCCTCTCCTTCCTCATTTCCACTATCATCTCCTTCGTCTTGTCTGTGTTGAGGCTGAGATTATTGTCCTTGCACCATGACACCAGACCGGCCACCTCCCACCTGTAGGCAGCTTCGTCCCTGTCAGTGATGCAACCTGTCACTACGGTGCAGTCCGTGAACTTGAGGATGATGTTGTCTTTGTGGGAGGCGACACAGTCATGGGTGAACAGGGTATAGAGGATGGGACTGAGGACACATCCCTGTGGGGTGCTGATGTTCGTGATAATGCTGGCTGAAGTCCTATTGCTAATCCTGACACTCCTAACAGTCAAAGTCCAGGGACCAGTCACAGAGTGGACAGTTTGTGGGGGATAACTGTTTTGAAGGCGGAGCTGTAGTCAATGAAGAGTATCTTGATGTAAGAGTCTCCATCAAACCAGGTGAGAAAGGGAATAGTGGAGGGGGGGCGTCTGAGGTGGCCCTGTTGGGCCGGTAGGCATACTGCAGGGGATCCAGGGTGTCCGGTATACTGCTTTGATTGTGGGCTAGCATCACTCTCTCAAAACACTTCATAATGATTGGGGTGAGTGCCACTGGCCTGTAGTCGTTCAGGCAGGTGACCAGGCTCTTCTCGGGAAGGGGGACGATGGTTGTGGTCTTAAAACGTGTGGGAACGATGCTCTGACTGCGGGAGAGGTAGAAGATGGTGGTGAGAACATCAGCCATGCCCCAAGAGCTCTCCCAGGGACATTGTCCGGTCCTGCTGCTTTGCGGGGGTTGATCTTCCTCAGGACTGTGCGTACCTGGCCTGGTGAGACAGTTAGTGGAGGGGAGGTGAGGGGGTGGGTGGTGTGTGTGTGCCTCCTCTCTAAAGCGGGTGTAGAATGTGTTGAGGTCATCCAGCAGGCTGTCTTCGGAGCTGATGATGCTGGTGGTGGTCCTGTAGTCCGTGATGTGCTGCAGGCCTTGCCACATCAGTCCGGAGTCAGCAGTAGAATAGAAGCCATTCAGCTTCTTTCTGTACTGCCTCTTGGCCTCTGTGATCGCTTTCCTCAGTCTATACTCTGCAGCTTTGTACTCCGTCTCATTGCCTGATCTGAATGCATGAGAACGAGCACGCAGCATGTGGCGTATGTGACCTGACAAATGTACTAAAGTTCAGCATTATACCAACTTGGATATTTATTTTTCTCTTAAACACAAATATGTGAATTTATTTTCAGTAATAACTTGAATTATTATTTAATTAGTTGAGCTACTTTACAGTCTTTCCCTGATTTCCTGGCAACTGCAGGAGTACCCCATGGGGTACTAGTACCTCTGGTTGGTCACTGTTCTAGAGTATGTAGTGTGCCAAGTGATTACTTCTTTTCAGTTATGACCATCAAACTGCTTGCACTGTCACCCTTTGCAGTCTGAGGTGGGTGGGGAGCTGACCTCTATAGTAAAGCTGCCCATAAAGGTGAAGATTGTGCCCACTCCCCCACGCAGTAAGAGGGTGCTGTGGGACCAGTACCACAACCTACGCTACCCACCAGGCTACTTTCCCCGAGACAACCTCCGCATGAAAAATGACCCACTAGACTGGTGTGTACATGTATATTTAATACCTTTTTCAATTTCTAATACCTTTCTGAAATCACTTCATTGTTGTACACGGGTACTGCCTAAGTCAACTCAGTGACGTGTTTGTTTTGTTTTCAGGAATGGGGACCACATTCACACAAACTTCAGAGACATGTACCAGCACCTGAGGAGTATGGGGTACTTTGTTGAGGTGCTGGGAGCTCCCATCACCTGCTTTGATGCCAGTCAGTATGGTGAGAGCACAGGAACTAAAAACACATAACTAGTGTCTACTTTAAAATGCCTACTGTGGCTCCAGGAAGCTGACAAGATATCAGCAGTTGCTTATAACTTATGTGATAGTGTATTGTGTCCCCCCCCCCCCCCCCCTTTGTATCTCTGCAGGTACGTTGTTGATGGTGGACAGTGAAGAGGAGTATTTCCCTGAAGAGATCACTAAGCTGAGGAGAGACATCGACAATGGCCTGTCACTTATTATCTTCAGTGACTGGTACAACACCTCGGTTATGAGGAAGGTCAAGTTCTATGACGAAAACACCAGGTATTAATCTTCCTTTAACAGATTTCTACTGCTGATATAGCTGTAATATTGCTAATGTTTAAGGACATTCAAACTGAATTTCTTAGGTCTTACTGTGAACAGTTCCTGCATAAACAGCACTTGGTGACAAAATAGCAACGGTTTTTGTTATTTTACATGAGAGTTTTGTTCTCCTCTCTGATCTGAAGTGGGCAGGACTCAGTGGTAAATGGTGACATCGTGTTTGTCTCTGCAACAGTCACAATTTATCACTATTTGAGTCAAGTTCTTATGAAAATGACGGTACCGTTTGTTCATGTTGTCAAATCTAATCGCTGAACTTAAATTTTGAGTGTTATTTTGGTTTGAATATTTTTTGTTACAGAGAAGTACTTGAGATTTGAATCCAGGTTGTCAGAGAATTTAATCATTGTCACAAAATCAGTAACCAGGGAGAAGAGCACAGAGAAACACACAAGTACAGAAAATCTCTCATTTTCAGAGCCTTTAACTTAAACGTAAATAAAAGGAGATCACAGTATACCTATGGCACACATTGGTTCTCATTTGGGAAACAGTGATTAATCTTGTTAAAAAGTTTCCTTCCAATGTATTTGTACACATGGATTCTGTACATCATTGCAGAACATTTTTAAGAAGTGTAAACATGTCTGTCCCTTTAGCCACTTATCCATTGCCTGGCACCATTTCAACTTGACTCGACTCACCTTACTTGTTTTTACATCAGTCAGATGTTGAGGATAGTACCTGGTACCTCATACTGTTTTTTTGGTATTGCCTCCATCGAAGCTCCAAGCAAGCAGAGCCAAACAAATAAAAAACTGAATAATTGGGCGTGCAAAATTATTCAGCCCCTTTACTTTCAGTGCAGCAAACTCTCTCCAGAAGTTCAGTGAGGATCTCTGAATGATCCAATGTTGACCTAAATGACTAATGATGATAAATAGAATCCACCTGTGTGTAATCAAGTCTCCGTATAAATGCACCTGCACTGTGATAGTCTCAGAGGTCCGTTTAAAGCGCAGAGAGCATCATGAAGAACAAGGAACACACCAGGCAGGTCCGAGATACTGTTGTGGAGAAGTTTAAAGCCGGATTTGGATACAAAAAGATTTCCCAAGCTTTAAACATCCCAAGGAGCACTGTGCAAGCGATAATATTGAAATGGAAGGAGTATCAGACCACTGCAAATCTACCAAGACCTGGCCGTCCCTCTAAACTTTCAGCTCATACAAGGAGAAGACTGATCAGAGATGCAGCCAAGAGGCCCATGATCACTCTGGATGAACTGCAGAGATCTACAGCTGAGGTGGGAGACTCTGTCCATAGGACAACAATCAGTCGTATACTGCACAAATCTGGCCTTTATGGAAGAGTGGCAAGAAGAAAGCCATTTCTTAAAGATATCCATAAAAAGTGTCGTTTAAAGTTTGCCACAAGCCACCTGGGAGACGCACCAAACATGTGGAAGAAGGTGCTCTGGTCAGATGAAACCAAAATCGAACTTTTTGGCAACAATGCAAAATGTTATGTTTGGCGTAAAAGCAACACAGCTCATCACCCTGAACACACCATCCCCACTGTCAAACATGGTGGTGGCAGCATCATGGTTTGGGCCTGCTTTTCTTCAGCAGGGACAGGGAAGATGGTTAAAATTGATGGGAAGATGGATGGAGCCAAATACAGGACCATTTTGGAAGGAAACCTGATGGAGTCTGCAAAAGACCTGAGACTGGGACGGAGATTTGTCTTCCAACAAGACAATGATCCAAAACATAAAGCAAAATCTACAATGGAATGGTTCACAAATAAACATATCCAGGTGTTAGAATGGCCAAGTCAAAGTCCAGACCTGAATCCAATCGAGAATCTGTGGAAAGAACTGAAAACTGCTGTTCACAAACGCTCTCTATCCAACCTCACTGAGCTCGAGCTGTTTTGCAAGGAGGAATGGGCAAAAATTTCCGTCTCTCGATGTGCAAAACTGATAGAGACATACCCCAAGCGACTTACAGCTGTAATCGCAGCAAAAGGTGGCGCTACAAAGTATTAACTTAAGGGGGCTGAATAAATTTGCATGCCCGATTTTTCAGTTTTTTATTTGTTAAAAACGTTTGAAATATCCAATAAATTTCGTTCCACTTCATGATTGTGTCCCACTTGTTGTTGATTCTTCACAAAAAATTACAGTTTTATATCTTTATGTTTGAAGCCTGAAATGTGGCAAAAGGTCGCAAAGTTCAAGGGGGCCGAATACTTTCGCAAGGCACTGTATAAACACTGCAGACTAGCGACTGGTCAGTGAAATCACGTCATCAACATGCAAGACATCCTGGAACAAAGAAAGTACCATTTTTAAAAGCAATGTTATTTAACACTAACTGCTACTTTACTGTAGTTACTGTACTAGCTAAAAACAGCCACATACTGAAAATCAAGAACAGCATACCCTCCATGACCTCTACTGTTACTGTGTCGTTGCTGATGATATCACTCAGTGTAATGCGGTGTTGCTATGACATCCAGCTACAATGAGAAGGGACCATCTGCAGTGGAAAACCAATATGGTACCAAAAGCAAGTAGAGCTGAGTCGAGTTGAGTTGAGCTGGCATCAGGTGATGAAAAGGGGGCTTTTAAAATGACCTTGTTGCTCCATTATGAGGTCAGTGACCAGCAACCATTACCTCACCAGTGCTTTCACCAGGTGTTTTAGCATGTTATAAAGATATTTAGTTAGTTATTTAGTTAACAGTCTAATGTACCACAGTCTCTGTCTGACTCCCTCTTTCCAGTATTAGACTCTATTTATGTGCCCTTGATCTGTAATCGATTTAATCTGTCACGACTTGTCAGATTCAGAGCTCCTCATGCAGAGCTAACAATTGCTCACCACTCCTTGCTGCTCCATTCATATCCTACCCAAGCTGTTGCACAATATCCACAGGATTAAAAGTCTCAAGTGTAGTTAAATATAGTATTTATGGATTCAAATGTGTTGCTCAGTAATTCAGTTTTAATTGGTGGTGGGGTTCTCTCAAATGGTTCATTTCATTCACAGCTACCTTTTCTGGAAAAATTAAGCCAGAAAAATGGAACGCCATCTTTGAATTTAGAAATGTTTTAATTTTTTTTTTTTTTTGATTTCATGATTTTTAATGTTTCTGTTTTTGTGAAAGCTACTGACAGTCTGGAGTTATATTGAATCAGACTTTATTGGGCCTAATTGTTTTCATGTTTGTTTTCATTATTCAATCCACTGCTTGTGATGGATGTCAAACTGAAAGCAAAGTTAGGTTCCGTAGGTAGGGATGCACCGGCACTGATACCAGTATCAGGTCCGATACCAGTATCAGGTCCGGTACCACCCTCTAGTCAGGGGCTTAGGCAGATATTGTATTAAAATTGCCATCTTTTCCCACAAAAACTGCAAGTTAAACCGGCAGTACATAACCTATTAAGGCTGCACACAACAGTGCAAACAAAAAAATTGTCCTTTATAGGCTATGCAGCCTAAAATTTGCATAAAAATGCTTGACAGAAGATCATTTGAAACTCAAAATCAGGATTAGTGTAACAGCCTACAGCTCTTGCACTGACCATATAATAACCCTTTTATTACACTGTAGAAATTAAACATAAACAGCAGAGTATGTCAGTTAAAACAGAAATTTCCCTCATGCACTACTGCTATTGTTTGGTCAGTATCATAGTCAGCCCATGAAAAGCCATAAATGCACAAACAGCTGTTAACAAATAAAGTAAGTAAGTAAAGTAAATGAAAATCCAATAAGCAAAAGAAAACCCCCATTGTTGAGTGAGGAGAGCAGACACTTATTCATTTCTGTTGCATTAACTAGCTTTTGATGCAACCTGGCTGAAACTCTTAAAATTTAGATTTTGTGCAAGAAATGAGTACCCTGAGGTATAGTAGTTTTCCCTTTTCCAGGGTGTTTCTGTAGGCTCTTCTGTGCACTGTTTGTATACCATTGCTTCCAGTGCGAGAGTGAACATGCTCTCCCTGCAGACATGAGCACAAGGTGCACACAAGATGATATGTGCTGCACACGCTGCACTTTTGGTATAGACATTACATTCAGTGCTGTAGAAACAGGTCAGTTTCTTGACATTTTACTTCTGTATGCTATAGCTATACTTTCCATAGCATTGTGATGGAACTTGACTGGGCGGGCCAGTGCCACCCAGGCGCATTCCTGGTTACGTGCCAGCCTCTAGTACTCATAAACCTTGTCTGATACTACGCAAGGATACTCATGGTGGTTGAGCAGGTCATTAAGTGGTGGAGATGGAATTTCAGGGGTTCGTGGTTATTTTAAGATAAGTGATGAAGACAAAAGTAAAATGGACTACGAGTTCTGATTCTCTGCTGTGTGTGACTGTGAGCACCCCTCCTTCCCTATGTCACACAGACACAAGGTCATGTAGACGTCGGTGATCTATGTGCAACAAAATCCAACAGTAATGGTGAGAGCTATTGTAACACTTGTTGCACAAACAGAGCACAAAAATAAACTTGCACAAATGTGATGTCTTCAACTCTCCACGTGGTCACAATGGCTGGTCCTGTTCATTCACTAAACTTATACAGTGCTCATTATGCTGATTGTAGTGAATTGTTGTGAACGAGAAGAAAGAAATCACTAAGATTTTATAGTTAACAGCGGAGTCTAATGAGGTCTGTGTATGAAAATGAGTTGAGACCAGCAGCTCCTCTTTACCAGAGGATGAAGCCACAGACAGGCGCCCTCGTTAAATTAAACATTAAATTGTCCACTGTGATATTATGGCTCCTAAACGTCTAGGCAGGGGCTGTGAAATAATTTCATCCTAACAGAGGGTCGCACATCTAAAGAGGTTAGAAACCACTGTATTACAGTTTGTTGTGTAGTAGGCTACAGACCTTCAGTCAATTACTTGTTATATTCAGTAGAAATGGTGGCAGTGCTGTTTGTTACTACAGAAAAGTTTAAGGCAATATGCACTGTTTCCTGTTATATATTTTATTTAATCACAATCAGAAAGTAAATCTCATAAAAATAACAACTGTCTAAAGTCACTGCACTTTTTTGGTAATTGTAATTTTTATAATCGAAACAGTGCATTAAGTACTTCTATTGGCAAGTACTCAAATGTAAGTACATGTACTGAAAAAAGTGGTCTCAATGTGTCACTAGTTATAAAGATGATTTTGACCTGCAGGCAGTGGTGGATGCCAGACACAGGAGGTGCCAACATACCAGCTTTGAATGACCTAATCTCAGTGTGGGGGATGGCTTTTAGTGACGGGCTATATGAGGGAGACTTCACCTTGGCTGATCACGACAGTAAGGCACACATGTACCCAAACCCTCTTTATTTTCTGGCACTATTAGTCTTTAGACAGCTCCTTAGAAAATAAAAATGCTTCTCACTGTATTTTTTTTGTCTCTCTCTCTCAGTGTACTATGCCTCAGGCTGCAGCATTGCTCGTTTCCCAGAAGATGGAATAGTCATTGCCAAGAACCTAAAGGATCAAGGTACTAGCAACCTTCTTAAAGTAATGAACCCAGCTTAGTGTAGCAGAGTCCTGGCCAGCAGGGAACTTTTTAATCTGTGTCTCTTTAGTTCAGATATAACATGACTGTGTGTGTGCGTGTTCTTTTCACAGGACTGGAAGTGTTAAAGCAGGAGACAGCTGTGGTGGAAGGAATCCCCATCCTAGGACTGTACCAGACACCATCTGATGGGGGAGGCCGTATCGTTCTGTATGGAGATTCTAACTGTATAGATGACAGCCATAGGCAGAAAGGTAACTTCTCTTTAGCATATGTCGATGTGTGGCTGCTTCTGGACTTCTTACACACAACAGACGGCATGGAGCTGATCTGATCGAGTACTACTTGTTTGTGTTTGCTGTCTCTCAGATTGTTTCTGGTTGCTAGATGCTCTCCTACAGTACACCTCCTACAGTATGACCCCTCCCAGCCTCAGCCACTCCCACAGCAGGGTAGCACCTCCTACAGGTACCGAGCACCCATTGCCACAGAGACTGGAAGGTAAGGAGGGAGTAAAAACAATACATTAACAGACATGTTAATGTTATTTCAGTTGTTCTCAGCTTTTCCTTTCCTTGTTATATCTTTGGGCAAAGCATCTCCTGCTGTTAGATGAGTGTAGTTTTCACCATATTAATTAAGATATACTGATAATGGGACAAACCAGTATACAGTGGTGTGAAAAAGTGTTTGCCCCCTTACTGATTTCTTATCTTTTTGCATGTTTGTCACACTGTAATGTTTCAGATCGTCAAACAAATTTATATATTAGTCAAAGATAACACAAGTAAACACATCATGCAGGTTTTAAATGAAGGTTTTTATTATTAAGGGAAAACAAAATCCAAAACTATAGAGCCCTGTGTGAACAAGTGTTTGCCCCCTAAACCTAATAACTGGTTGGGCCACCCTTAGCAGCAACAACTGCAATCAAGCGTTTTCGATAACTTGCCATGAGTCTTCCACAGCGCTGTGGAGGAATTTTGGCCCACTCATCTTGGCAGAATGGTTGTAAGTCAGCCACATTGGAGGGTTTTCGGGCATGAACTGCCTTTTTAAGGTCATGCCACAGCATCTCAATTGGATTCAGGTCAGGACTTTGACTAGGCCACTCCAAAGTCTTCATTTTGTTTTTCTTCAGCCATTCAGAAGTGGACTTGCTGGTGTGCTTTGGATCATTGTCCTGCTGCAGAACCCAAGTTCGCTTCAGCTTGAGGTCACAAACGGATGGCCGGACATTCTCCTTCAGGATATTTTGGTACACAGCAGAATTCATGGTTCCACTTATCACAGCATGTCTTCCAGGGCCGGAAGCAGCAAAACAGCCCCAGACCATCACACTACCACCACCATATTTTACTGTTGGTATGATGTTCTTTTTCTGAAATGCGGTGTTACTTTTACGCCACACATAATGGGACACACACCTTCCAAAAAGTTCAACTTTTGTCTCGTCTGTCCACAGAGTATTATCCCAAAAGTCTTGGGGATCATCAAGATGTTTTCTGGCAAAACTGAGACGAGCCTTTATGTTCTTTTTGCTCAGCAGTGGTTTTCGTCTTGGAACTCTGCCATGCAAACCATTTTTGCCCAGTCTCTTTCTTATGGTGGAGTCATGAACACTCACCTTAACTGAGGCAAGTGAGGCCTGCAGTTCTTTGGATGTTGTTGTGGGGTCTTTTGTGACCTCTTGAATGAGTTGTCGCTGCGCTCTTGGGGTAATTTTGGTCGGCCGGCCACTCCTGGGAAGGTTCTCCACTGTTCCATGTTTTCGCCATTTGTGGATAATGGCTCTCACTGTGGTTCGCTGCAGTCCCAAAGCTTTAGAAATGGCTTTATAACCTTTTCCAAACTGATAGAGCTCAATTATTCTCTTTCTCATTTGGTTTTGAATTTTTCACACAGGGCTATATAGTTTTGGATTTTGTTTTCCCTTAATAATAAAAACCTTCATTTAAAAACTGCATGATGTGTTTACTTGTGTTATCTTTGACTAATATATAAATTTGTTTGACGATCTGAAACATTACAGTGTGACAAACATGCAAAAAGATAAGAAATCAGTAAGGGGGCAAACACTTTTTCACACCACTGTATGTTATTCAAAAAGCTCAAATAGCTTTAGTGATGTGTGTTTAAGGAAAAACTATACATCCACCTTGTGTTGTTACAGTCCTCTTGCTTCCCTCTATCCTTCCCTCTTTTCTTCCTTCCTTACCTCCCTCCAGGCAACCATCTTTACCGTTACTCCAAGGTTCTGGAAGCTCACCTGGGTGACCCTAAGCCCCGCCCACTGCCAGCCTGCCCCCACCTGTCTTGGGCAAAGCCACAGCCGGTGAATGAGACAGCTCCCAGGTAGGTCTGAAGAAGCACTAGTTTTAGTACCAGTGCTTCCTATGGATCACAAGATTTGGCGTGGCAGCAATGTGCCTCAAGCCAGGGGTGGAGGGCTGCTGGGGATTTGGGTGTATGTGTATGTCCATGTTCCCTCTATGGAGGTGAACAACATCAAACAATATCAGTTAATATAAGCTAGTTATTTTTCAGTGACAGTTATAATCTAAGCACTTTTTAATGGTTGCAAAACTAAGTCCATTTCACTGGTCAGTGTTTCACTCAAAAACGTAACCATAGCCCGACAGAAAGTGAGACGTTGAGTGTCAGAGCAGCTGTCAGTCATCAGATCCTGATGAACTGCAAGGACGGCAGACAGACAGACAGACAGACTTCACCAGGCCGGCTGACAGCAGAAATGTGCTGGACAACAGTAGTTTTCATGTAGGCCTTATGCATGCAATCCTAACCTACACCAGTATTATGGTGCCCTCAGTGCGCTAGAGAATATGCCAGAAGCATAAACAAGTGATGTGCGGCTCACGCGCGTCAGTGCAGACATTTGATAGAATGGAGTTCTGTGGGAATCGAACTGCTAATACTCCAGTTAGGAGATGACCCGCTTGACCTCCCTAGCCACAGCCGCCCTCATAGAAAAGTTTGGCCATCTATACGTCCCACCCACTCTCCTCAATGCAATATCTCAGGAACCCCTTCAGGGAATTTCTTCAAATTTAGCACAAATGTCCATTTAAGATCGAGGATAAAGTGGGTAGATTTTGGTGGTCAAAGGTCAAGGTCATAGTGATCTCACATCTGTTCCATTCTCATGTATTTGACTGGTTTACGGAGGCATGCAACTGTGAAGCAGTTACTCTAGTTCTGTTCATGAGAACTTACCAAGTGATTGGCACACAGTCTTGGCTTTCTAACACTGAGTTAGTGCCTACTGGCAGCAATGTTCTTATGTCTGTTTTCCTGAACACATTTTTACACAATTCTTCATTTAGAATTTCATCCTCTTTGTCTCTCTCTCGTGCTCTCAGTAACCTGTGGAAGCACCAGAAGCTTCTCTCTGTGGATTTCGACAAAGTGGCTCTACCTAACATAAGGCCTTACCGCCCCCAGGTCAGACCTCTGTCTCCTGGAGAGAGTGGGGCCTGGGACATCCCTGGAGGTAACAAAGGATGAAAAGTTACTATAAAGAATGGGGGATCCTTGGGGTTAGTTTTAGAGCTAGAGTTTAGAGTTTTGTACACAGCAGTGAAACACATTTTTAAAAAAATATTTAATGTTAAAACCACAGTTGATGGAACGGCACAAACAGTATTTAAATGAAAGCTATTACCACAGTGCATAAAATAAAGGTGGTACAGGTGGTTATTAATGAAGCCCCATGTGACCTCTGCCCTCAGGTATAATGCCTGGTCGCTACAACCAAGAAGTGGGCCAGACTATCCCAGTTTTTGCCTTCCTGGGTGCGATGGTTGTCCTGTCTTTTTTTGTGGTCCAGCTCACCAAGGCCAAGAGCAAACCCAAGCGTAGGAAACCTCGTGTCAAGCGGCCCACATACCTCCAGCAGCAGACCACTGGAAAAAGCCCCACAGTTTGACGGGCACTGCAACTGAGGCTGGAGACTGGAAAATTTGTGTTCCAAAGCAACACTGGAGATTTGGAATTGACAAAGTGGCTCTACCTAACATAAGGCCTTACCGGAATCTAATGAGCTGTTGAGTTGTTGCATTCTCAAACTCTCAAGCCTGCTAGACATGAACATGCGACTCCCGAGTGTCTCTTGGATACTAAAGCAGTTTTTGTGTCTCGTCTGTTCAAGATTTTCTGTGTGTGTTTGTGTGCATTTGTGGACTAATGAACAGTATTAGACAGTGTTACACACAATGTAAAACACAGTGTACTATTGGCTCTGAGAAATGCCTAGTTCATAGAGACATGTCAACATTTTCCTCTTTTCTTTGACCAAACAATTTCTTTATCAATGAAATGTTAGACTTTTTATATTTATTGAATTTGTTCATTCCCTAATACACACACTCAGAAACAAACTACACACAGATTTACAATGTGTAAATCTGAAGGTATCAGATGAAAATGGATTGCATACACAATGACAGAAACACACCGGATACACAGACATTTTCCACTTGAGGACCATTGGATGATCAGGTTGCCTTCTCTTCTGTCATCATCCACTGTTTTGTAAAATTCTTTGCCCACATCTGTTTAAGATCAGTCTCTTCATTGTTTTTATAGTTTATATAATGAATGAACTCTGACCAGGCATTCTGTTGATCTTCTCCTTCATGTCAACAAAGTAGCACTGACGGACTCCTCCTGATTATTTCATGAATTAAAAAAGCATTCTAAAAGTAATCTGATATTTATTCTTTATCCTTGAGTTATATTTAGTTATGCATCATTGTTGCATTTGATTTTATTAATAACTCAGATTTGTAAGATATCAAATGCTAGAAAATTAACCCCAGTGCTACTGAACTTTATTCTGGTGCCACCATCAGGCCAAATTTTGGACTTGTGCTTAAATTTAAGATCTAAAATTTGGCATAACTTTAGAAGACTATGCCATCAGTTTTAGCATTGCACTTCAAAAACATTGTTGGAGTCGTGATGGACAGTTTACAGAAGGATCCAAATAGATGGAACAGAACCAGTGATATTGCCTGTAGTAATACACATTCCTTTTTGTCAAAGCTTACAGCCTTGCTTAGCTAGTGTGCAACTAGCCAGTGTAGCCTTGAACCTTTACTACTAAAGGTGCGTTCACATTATCTTGGAAAAACACCTTTTCACGTGCTTTGCCATTGTTGTATATGTGCTACACAACTCTGCACTGTTTGCAATGCCCAGAACAGAGAGAAAAGTTCAAATTTATTTAACTTTGAACCAAACTGCACTGACTTTTGTGGATGCAGCCAGTTACTGTTGTCCACAGCTTGAACTAAAAAAAAACTAATTAGCTTACTTGTATTTTCAAATTTGCCAAACTGCACAATAACACCTTGCTGTCACTCTGAGACCTGACAACAGCACAGCCTGGTATAATATCAGCATGCAGATGCAACTACCAAGATGGTTTAAAACAGTCTCTGAAATGTAGCAACCTTCAGTTAGTAACAATAGCATTGTACCTGAAGTGGTCATTTTCTATAGCGCACCTGGTGTTTCAAATGGGTAAATACTGCATCAACGAACATGAAATGTGCAGTGCAGTACCAGTATTTTAGAGCTGTAAGTGAATATGCCTTTACCCCACATGGGCAGATTTTTCAGTTTCACAGACTCAGACCCAGTCAATTATGGAGCCACAGAGAGCTTTATACAACTTTTTCACATCTGGAGTAGTACGCAAAGATCTGTAAAAACACTGATGTGTAAACCTGTGGAGCTCCATGTCATGTGCAGATTTGTTCAGAGAGACAGTAAACCTTCACTGTAATTTCACTAGAGCTCATGTTTGGTGAACTTTGATATGCACATTTGTGCCTATAGCCAATTGCAAACCATCTCAACAGTAATCACCTTTGAATAAATGGAGACGAGTAGACAATCCAAAATAAGTTATTTTAACAATGTTAATACTGTATGAACATCAGATGGTGCCATGTGATCAAAATAATTACCAAGTTTTTTAGGATTTTTTAAAATTCCTACACATTGTGGCTTTAATAGGATTATTGTCATGACAATTACTGATATTATTTGGTTTGATTTATTCATTCAAGCATGTAAAACAGTTAATATGTCAACACATGTAATTTCACACATATCCAACAAATGCTAATCCAATATCAATGTGCTTATACCTAGTACATGCTTGAATGGAGTAGGAAGAAGTTAGACTTATCCAGTCCTACCCCAAGACATCATTTTACAACTTTTAAATCCTAAGCAATATCTCTAGATAAATAATTATCCTCTACACCACACAAGTAATATACTAAAGAATTATTACAAAGTGTTAACATTCATACACCACACCCACAATGTTCCATCTGATTAATCATTAAACCTGTTCTTGCATATATCTTGATTGACACATACCTTTATACTTATGTTTAAACTCATCAATTCTATTACTATTTTTTATGTCCACAGTTAAATTATTCCATAGTTTTACACCACTTATGGAAATACAAAATCTTTATTTGGTTGTACGTATAGCATGAATTTTTAAATAGCTCAAAGGAGCAGCGCTTTTGAATTTGGGGGTTACATGACCTGTTTGCGTTTGTTCAAAATAAGCAGCTCAAGCATACATCTGTGCATCATGCATTCTGTTGTTTTTTCTTCTGGCAGCAATGATTTTCTTTTTACTGTGTTTCCCCCTGTGGTGGAAATCGATGTTTTTTTTTCAATAATCTCGTAAATCAATACCTGAGGGCATGGACACAACTCCCACCATCAAAAGCTAGAAAACCAATTATTTCAGTGTTTATATAGCAAAGAGAGAACAGCTGGGGCTGTTTCACTGTGTTTACTGTAAATTATGCCAGAAAAATGTAATTACTGGAACTGAATGATTTTGAAGATTAGATTTTTTTTTTTAACTGTTGGAGAGTATGTTTGCCTTAGTTCACTTAACAATGGTCAGGTGCCAGGGAGAGAGAGAGGTTTAATGATGTGCAAAGGGATCAGCAGACAGAACTGAATCACTGCAATTCAGTGATGCAGATTGATTTCATCAGAGGTTATGTGTGTCTGTATGCTCGGACGTCTGAGGGCATCTGAGCTCCTTATCCAAGCATAATAGGCCAGATCAGCCTGTGAAATCTGTCATCCGTGCTCTTGGATGAAGGCCCCACTGAAGAATTAATCTCACTCAGAACCTTGAGAAACTCAGAAATGACCCTGGAGGGTCTAGCTGTGCTAATAAGATTTGGAAAGCTGGTGGTGAGTGATGGTCACATGCCCTTTTTCCCTCCATGGTTCCCAGGACAACCTGTCGGGCCAATCAGGTCGCCTGCTCACATCCTGGACAGGCAGTTGAAAGAGTCAGTCAGTCTGAGCTGATCCCTCCACCTCCAGATTCATCAGTTCATGTCTTACCAGCCTGTACCTCTCCCCATCAACTTTATCCATTAATGTCTGTGTCAGCGTTAAGGTCTGGCTAACATCCACACTCCTGCTTCCCTTTCTGTCTTACCTGTCCTTCCCTCTCCTTTCATCAGTCCTCCACCATGGTCCTCTGTCTGGTCAGGGCCAAGACATGAATAAGTCACTAAATGTTAGCTTATAAGCTTTATTGAAATGTAATGCATAGGAACAGTAGTGCTTTGTGCTAAATGCTAATGTAAGCATGCTAACCTGCTAATAGCAATGAATGTTTTTCATCTTCACCAAGTTTAGCAGGTTGGCATGCTATCATCTTGTACTTTAATCTGAAGCCCCTGGAAACAAATCAAATATGGTTGTCCTACATCCGCCAAAGACCGTTGTTCAATGTAATTAAAGCCACAATTAATGGATGTGGCATGACCGTGGCATAAACTCAAGTACATTTTAAGGCAGGCCTGCAGCACCAGGGCAGTGAAAGAACCCCCATATATGAAGTTCTTCTTACTCGTGACCTTCACACCTAATTCTGGTGGGTGACTTGCTCATAATTTGTTTTTCTCCTTCTTAATTTAAATTGCAAATACAAGGGTTATGAATAAAAAATCAGATAACTTTCTACCCCAGTCTGTGTCTTTTGTTTCCTTCAGAAAGCTGGCTTTAACCTACATAATCTGGCCACGGTAATGCAGTGTAGTGTAGCTTTTTCATTTTATCCATGTCATTAAAAGTAAGAAACCCAATTTCACAAGCAGCAGTTCCAGTTTCATTTTCTTCTTTTTACTCTTCACAGCAGTATATTGTTGTAGGGGCTAAATGATGTTTGAAATGAGCAATGCATGGATAAAAGGCTTCCTCACCTGATAGCCTGGCGTATAATCAGATCTGTTTCATCACAGATCAGTTTGATCTCTTAGAATAAACAATGCATTACATATGGACTCTCTCAGCCACCCAATTCCTTGCTCCCAGTTCTCTCTTGACATTTTTTTCATACATTTTTCAACTCCTTATCCCTGTCCTCCTCTACTTCATTTCAATTCAAACATTTGCTTTCTCTGTTAAATCTTAGACTTGCACAGGGAAGACCGGGAAGGAATGTAACACTGTGTAAGTTGTAACACTGCCAGTTTGACCAGTCAGAAAAGAGTTGTGGTGATGATATCACTATCAAAAATTCCCATTTTCTTTTTGAGCTGATAGGAGACGTGGCATGTCTCTGTGAGCAACGCTGTGGATTTTATGAACAAAAAAAAAAAAAAAAAATTTTCAGATAAAAAGCAACATTTTTTATCAAGATTATTTCTGACTAGTTTTCATTGTATTGTGCATACAGTGGCTTGACATACAGTATAACCGAAAGCAGCAGTTTCTTTAGTTTAATTTGATGCTTGACATTGATACTAACTTCAAACCCACATGCTAAAACTGTTAGCTATGTAGTGGCTGCTTGGGGTGGGGATGTTGTAACAGTATATCTTCATATGACCATCCCCTTATACACTGAAGCCCAGTGACCAAGAGATTCTGACACCTCTGGTGATGAGAATCTTTGGATTGTGTGCATGAACACTTTGCAAACTCCAGGCCAAAAGAAGTCTGGGTCAAGGAAGTACTTTGTCACTTCAGGGCCCACAAACCCTGCACCCCAGTGGCAGCCCTCTACATTTGTCACATCTGTGACAGTGATTGAACCATTATGTGACACATGCACATTTTGAAAGACAGATACCCCCCCATCACCCTTATATTTAACAGTTTTCAGGTCTTTACATTTACTTAAATTAAGTTTCTAGAGACTTACTTTTACCCTTACCCCAATAACGACGTGCCTAACCAAACTTGTTTTTGTCACTTACCTTATTCAGAACTGATCATTCTTTATTATTCAATAAAATTCTTGTATAAATTAGATAGTATGGATATTATTTTGTTACATCCATCCCCAGCTGGAGTTACAATTCACCCCAGTAGTGGGGTAGGTTGTAACAACAGAACTCTTTGCATTTGACACAAATTTACATAATTTGTTATTGTGTAGTTGTCATCCAAGTGAGCTTTATTTGTAACAGACAAATATGGGTACCATATATCAAAGTTTGAGAGATCTAGCACGAACAGGCACTGAATTAGTGATGCCCAAAGAAATCATGTTACAATCATCCCCCAGTCTCCCCTAAGTGAGAAGTATACTTGACACATCCTTATCTTTGTTGTTCTTTGCAGTTGTATCTAATCCCTCCATTCCTGTTAAATTCCCATTCCTATTCCCCACATTTCCTTCTCCCTGATTTACTGAATTATCACCAGATGAACAGCACTGAACAGCATTATTTACATGTATGGATTAACACCATTAAAACACAGTCAACCCTCATGCGTTTGAGTCAAAATTCTCTCGGTTTAATTTTAGAGCAGCACCTGAAGGCAGCAGCCCCCCTCTCTCAGGCCCATCCCTCCTTCTCCCCTCCACCAGACTCACCTTGCTCAAGGAGCGGGCTGGTTCCCAGACCACAGCACCGTGATCGTGGAGTCGCTGGAAACTCACCGACAGCGCGCCTGGGTTTATGTATGTGGCCTGAGTGTCCCGCCGTCACCTTCCTGCCGGTTTACGCATGGAGGAGTTAGCCAGAGAGAGCATCGGCCTGCTGGCTTCAGCCTCAGCCAAGCCCCTGCTGGACGTGGCCACCGGGCCTCGGCTCGGTTCCGTGGGAGCCATTTTCATCATGCTGAAATCCGCTCTGGGCGCCGGGCTCCTCAACTTCCCTTGGGCCTTCGAGAGAGCCGGGGACATCCGCAGCGCAGTCACCATGGAGCTGGTGAGTATTTTCTTTCTTTCTTTATCTTCTTCATATATTTAAATTTATAATAAACTATTCCTTAGCAGATGCACTGCTGATGTGCAGTAATGCTCTCAAAGTTGAGGGTGTCAGCTTTGTAAAGGTTATTTATAAAAGAAAGTAGTCTATTTGTGTATTTGTTTATACTGGAAGTGCGCTGTGATCTGCTCCACCAGAGAGGAGAGACCTGACCTCAGCATGTTTTTCATTTAATTTTTCCTTATCAATATGCATTTTCCTCTGTTGCTCACTTCTTTTCTCCCATCTGTCACTGAGTGCACTGCAATAAAGGAATCTGTTATTTAACACTAAACAACCTGTCTCTTCTGCCTCTGCCTAACCCCTAAACTCATTGTGCATAGACATTTCACCCATGCTAGTCATCACTTTATTCTGATAGGAGCTTAAGTGAGCCATCCCTGTTTTAGCCAGACCCCCACAAATACCAGCTTACAGGGGCAACTGCGGTTCAGTGGGTAGAGTGGTCATCTCCTACCTGGAAGGTTGGAGGTTCGAATCACAGTGCATACAGTCCACATGTTGAAGTGTCCTTGGGCAAGACACTAAACCCAAAGTTGCCCCTGATGGTTAGAGCCATCGGTGTGAGTTGGCACCGCAGATGGCTGCCTTGGTTCTGTACCGAAAACAAATTCCTTGTGTGTGTGTAACTTACTTGGCCCAATAAAGTGATTATCCTTATTTTCTGGCCATGCCTTTCTTCTGGGGAAAGTGTCTGCTGGGGAACCTGTTCCTTCCAGTTTTAGAATTTGCCAAGGAAGAACTCAATCAGACAACCAATATGATCCTATTTGGCTTTGTTTTGTGTTAACTCTACAGATCAAGCCAAGAGCTGGACAGAATGTAGAAGTCATTACTTTATTCTCATGCTGCCACTGCCCGCCCAGACTGTCCTCTTTTATAACTCTCATTCTGTCTTCTGGAATAATCACAGAGCAGTAAGGAACAGAGGGGGTTCGTTTCTATTTTTCTCTGTTGAGGTCAGCGTGCTCGCAACTCCTTGTTTATCATTCTTTTTTCTTTTTTTTTGTTTTTTTTTACAGATTTTGACAAAATATGGCTTGAATATGTTTGAAACTACATTGTCTATATCATCTGTGTTAAATGTCAAGTGGCAGTCCTTTTTCTCACGGCTTGCAGCCACTGTGATATGACAATTTCACTGTCATGCCCAGTTCCAAAGATAGATGTGAAATTAAATAAGTGAGTTATGTGATGAACATATAATTCAACAGTACTTTCCATATTTTGCTTAAAGGTGCATTAAATAAGAATTTATAATTCATAAATCAAGTGAATTTGGGACAGGATGTGATGTCTCTATGATGTACCCCCTCCATGACACTTCAGTGCTTCAGCTGTTATTCCAGCTTATCTATGCTTTTTACAGTTTGTAAATTAGCTCCACCTGGTACCTAGCGACGGTTATAAGAAGTGTTTTCAAATTGCAGGTAGTCATTTCAGACAGTCTGAAACAGTGCCTGCCAGAGGTGGCATTCTTTTGCACAGAGCAGGGCAAAGAGCAAAAACAAGGGTTAACATTGGTTTTGTTTTTTGAGATGGAGAGTGTTAAAAGCAGCCTTAGGACTTAGGATTTGATTCTGACGTTCACCAGCAGAGATGATGTTCCAGTTCCAATTTTTATTGCTGTTATTGCAAGATTTCTTATTGTTAATAAGGAAAGACGCAACCTCAGCCTTTCTTACCCACAAATACCAGGGACTCCAAGGGAAAAGGTTGGGAACCACTTGTCAGTCTGTTTCTATATCATCTTCTTCCTCCACACCAGGCCGAGTCCGGCATTCAAAGCAATCATTTGTGATGACACCAGTTCAGTTCAGTTTATTTGTATAGTGCCAGTCATAACAAAACGAAAATTATTGCTTTGCAGTTTTATGCACCAGTCAAATTCACAGGAATGGGATACATGTGAGGTCACTGACCTTTGACCACCAAAATCTAATCAGCTCATCTTTGAGTCCAAGTGGACACTTGTGCCAAATTTAAAGAAATTCCAACAAGGTGTTCCTGGCGTGTCACATTCACAAGAATGGGCCGGACATACAAACAGACAACCTGAAAACATAGTGCCTCTGGTCCTGGCTGGCACTGGAAAGGAGACATAAAAACTATCTCAGGACACTTTATATAGTAAGGTCTAGACCTTACAGTGTCACAGAGATAAACCCAACAAATATCCCTTGATCAAGCACTTGATGACAGCGGAGAGGAAAAACTCCGTTTAGCAGAAGAAACCTTTGACAGACCCCAGCCCATAACTAAGGGAAATCTCTGGGTCACCTCTACCAGCCCTAACTGTAAGCTTTATCAAAAAGGAAAGTCTTAAGACTAACCTTCCTTAAAATGCATCATCTGTATCCACTCAGGTCTCCCTTGTGTTCCTGGTCAGTGGATTGATAATCTTGGGATATTCCTCGTCTATCAGTGGCCAGTGCACCTACCAGGCAGTGGTGAAAGAGGTGTGTGGGCCAGCCATCGGGCAGCTGTGTGAGATCTGCTTCATCCTCAATCTTTTTACGATTGCTGTGGCCTTTCTGGTCATAGTGAACGACCAGCTTGAGAAGTGTAAGTTCTTAGCTCTGAATACTGACTTGTACTTTACTGTCAAATCTTTCTTGGGTTCATAACTAATAATAATTTTTGTAAATAATCCATTTGTGTTTGAACAGGACTTGTTTCTGAAATGACCTGTAGTGGATTTCATGAGCTACTTGTAAAAGGAAATCCCTTGTCTGAGTTTGAACCTGACCTTGAATCACTTTGTTGTGTCCCCCATTCAGTCAAACGGCTGCTCTGATTTAAAATTTGGTTGAGAACAGTCGCTCCCTCTTTGTATGTTATAGTAGATGAAAGTTTGGCTTTTTTCTCCTCTCAGTTAAAGGGCAGATTTATGAACTGAGGACTAAACATGAATGAGGTCTGAAGCAGGTCTCCTTTTTATATTTTGCTGACATTGCTTTTGCATCAAAAGCTAGTGCCCCGGTGTGTTGTCTTTCAGTGTGTGGCTCCCTGTATGAGCTGGTAACTGGTTTGCTGGACTCTGAGATGCCGTACCACTTCTACACAGACCAGCGCTTCCCCCTGGTGCTGCTCTGTGCTTTCCTCATTCTGCCGTTGTCCATCCCCAAAGAGATCAGCATTCAGAACTATATCAGGTCAGGTGGCCCATGTCACGTGCTCATGCATGTGTATAAAGAGTTACACCTACACACTTAGCACCAGGACATACCAGCACAATACGTTTATGTTCATATTACTTTTATCATTTTGGAGTTTTAATACTTATAGAAAATATTTTCTCTAGATTTATCTCAGCTCAGTTATACTTTAAGTGCGGATTTAATTGTGTTTTTATTACAAAGTTAGGTTGTTTTGGTTGGTCCAATACTTGTGTCCAGAACAAGGTCATTTGAGAACTACTGGACTGAGTTTTGCTATAACATTTTTGATATCTGTTTATGATTTTTCCACCACTAAGCCAATGCTTTTGTCATTAAACAAAATTTATAAAAATCTATTGCTATCTATTGCTACCAGAGCCACTGAAAACATTCATGATCCCCAGAGGGCCATGAACTTTCCTCTGGGGAGGAAATAGCCTGAAATGTTAAATTTATAAAACAGATACCTCAGAACCCAGCAGGCAAATTACCATGTGACCTTTTGTTGACCATTATCCTCAGGGCAGACTTCACCATTTTACACATCAGTGCTAGTGTTGTATGCGACAAAATGGTCAGTTCCTTCTACCTGGTTTCTGTCCCGCTGTCTATCAGTCAGTTTCCAGTAATCCACTCACCCATTGCCCTTTGACTGAAATGTTGCATTGTTTGTCAATTTCTGTCTGAAGCTGGTGTTTTGTCTCTGTCCTTCCACAGTGTTCTGGGTACTCTGGCTGCCACCTACCTGACTATAGCCATTGCCATCAAATACCACACCATGCCTTCTGTTGTGGTTCCCATCACCCCTGTCTATAGCAGTGGGTATGTGTGTGTGGTGACAAGGGGACAAATGCTTGGAACCAAGGGCTCCACACAGTTGGTTTGCTCCACTGGACAAAAAATTGATCTTGAGAGTAGATGTGTCAGACAAACTGGCTGCATTAAGAGTGCCATGAATTATCAGTGCTGTGGTTAACCCACCTATTATCCTGCACATAGATGTTTTGTTTCTCAGAATGCATTGACCATCTGTCAGAAGTATTACTTTAAAAGAATAGTTTGACTATTTGAGAAGTATGTTTATTCACTCACAGTAAGGTGAAATGATTGAGAACCCTCTCATATCTGTGTTAAATATCAAGATAAAGCCAGGCAATGGCTTGTTTAGCTTAGCAAAAAAACTTGTAGCAAGGGCAGACAGAACCTCTCTGTCCAGACATAAGAAATAACATGACACAGTGTATTTGAGAGGTGTTACGGTTCTATTGGTGGGCAAAGCCATGCTGGCTGTTCTGCCCTGCTTTCAGTTTTTAAGATAAGGTAATTGCCTGCAGGTTCATACTTAATGGACTAGATACATTTGATTAGTTGGTCCACAAACAAACAAACAAACAAACAAATAAATAAATAATAATGTGCAACTGTAATAATTAATCTCTTGTATTTTCTTTTAAAGAAAAATGATAAACATCTTGCTCATTTACTGTTTTCCTCAGTTTTATATTATTGTTGGTAGAAAATCTTTGGATTTTGGATCATTTGTCACACAACAAAGCTGTCTTGGTGATGGCTCCTTGGCTTCTGCATTACAGACCAAACAACCTATTATCAGGAAAATAATCAGCATCTTAATAATTGTTAGCCCTACAATGGACAAATATTTGTATCTGATTTTCACCAAGATTTTCTTTCTCAATTGGCAAACTATTTCCTTATTTGCTTTTGTGTATCTCCTAACGACAGATTGTCCATCCATCCATCCATTTTCCTCCGCTTATCCGGGACGGGGTCGCGGGGGCAGCAGTCTAATCAAAGATGCCCAGACTTCCCTCTCTCCAGACACTTCCTCCAGCTCCTCCGGGGGAATGCTGAG